TATGAACTCATGTTTTTTAACTGTAGAGGCAAGTAAGTTTTTACTTTTTAAAAAGTTTTAAGAGAATAATTGTAAGTTTCTGTGCAGCGAAGCGGCTAATTACTCATTAAGTACAAGAAAAGAATGTAGTGTCTAAATCCAGAATTTTCTTACCTCTGGTACACTTCATATTACTTACCTAATATGTATTGAGGGGTTTGAACCCTGAGTTTTATCAACTTTTCTAGTTTTATTTTATTTTTATAAAATAATTGAAAAAGAACCAAAAATGAATTCAGAAGTTACCTAGGTAGATCTTGCCCCTTCTTAATTTCCCCCACAACGAAGCATTTTAGAGGACATTTTGAATCAAAATGTATCACGACCATTTCAAGTTTACTCTTTTCTAAGACGCTGAGCACCTGCAAGGGCCTCGTTCCGGGTGGTTCTCCATGCACTGTCTGCGGACGCGCTTCTCCCTGTGCAGTGGGTCTGCGTGGCCAAGTCTTTTGCTTGCAATAGAAACCGTGCAGTGCTGTTTTGTAAATTGACAGTTCCTGTATAAACTAGTATTTGTATCCGTTGGCCTCTCTGTATTAACTTTTCATTTGCTACATGAATTGTAAACTGAATTATAAAATTATAGCACCTGCTAAATTCAACTCTGAGGCTTCATGTCCTTGTCTTAGTTCCCTGCCATTCTGTGTGTGTGGAGGGTGTCCGGCGCTTGCATGACGCTAAGTGGCGAAGCCACTTTAAATTAAGCCTTAATCCGATGTTCAATTGCAAGTTTCAGAGTATGCAAAAACACGAGGCAGAGCGAGTTCAAACGTCCAGGTCAGGCTGCCGTACCCCAACTCAACAAGTCCTTTCTCTGGAGCTGCAAAGGGAAGCTTTGGGCGATACACCCCTCTCCCTCTCCCCCCTGCCTCCCGCCCCGGTCCCCCGACCGGCTGTTGCCGTCCCTGACGGGGACGGGCCGTCGTGCATTTCTGTGGCAGTCTGTCAACAAAGGCCTGTTCTGAAAGTCTTGAGACTCTTTCAGGGTTATTTTTAAATGTCTGAAGTTTCCCCCTCCAGTCTGCGGTTTATTCATGGCTGACGGAGAGTGTGATTGGGGCATGAATCGTACTGCGAACCTGCTCGTGTTCTCAGCTTTCTTCAGGTAGCGCCGCCTGCCACTGCTTCTACCTAGGATTACATGGGTTTTTGGTTTTGTAAAAGCATCTTAAATTTAGACATAAAATGGAGGGGACCCAGCTTTCTTTACAATGTGGATCTACCTCAGTTCAACAGTTGGGTGCTATTTACGAAGTCTGTCAAATTAAATTGGAAAAAGTAACCAAACAGCTATATAACTCCACATGAAGCTTGAATTCATAATTTCCGTTTATTTAATAATATTTTTATTTATTTTGTGCCTTTTGTGTTGAATCCTAATGCATTGAAAAAAAAATCAGTATAAAATTAAATAGATCAGATGGCAGGCGGGGAGCGAAGTCCAGTCGGCCACGGCGGTTGACAGATCGCCCCGGCCGGCCACTGGCGTGTATCGGAACCCCAGCTGCCTTCTTGGGAAGAGAAAAATATTATGTTCAAGAGAAGTCAACATTTTACAAACAAATTCCAAACTCTTCTATGCACATATTTATAGCTGTCACTCCATTCTCTGTGCCAACGAAGGGGCGGCCAAAAACAATGCCTGTGTCCCCTGTCACCGCTTTCCTCACCATTCAGGCCCCCTCTTCCTCTGGCGTGTAAGTTTTATCTCATAAGCAGCAAATGCACCGTTGGCTCCGCCCCTCCCGGCCGTGCCCACTGGCCGGGAGGGGCGGTGAGGCCGTCGGGGGCGGGGCCTGCCTCGCCGTGGCCCTGGGTCCCGCGAGTTAGGGAAGCGCTCTGGCAGGTGAGAAGTGGGAGGAAGCTGATGGACGATGTCCCATGCCTTCGTATTTGGCGGTTTACAATTCTAGACTTTTCCTACTCTGGTGATCTTTTTTAACTTAATTCTTTGGAGGTAACGCAATATTTTGGAGTCTTAAGAATTTGATTTTATACCAATAAAAAATAAAACTTCAGGATCTTTCCTGTAGTATATAGTTTTACTATTTTAAAGAGATCTCTGAATTTTACAAGAGAACCAACATTCCTTAGTGGCAAAACTTTGAAAGTTGATTTGGGAGGCTTTCTGCTGCAGGATCTCAAAAACAAGGGGATGATTCTAGGTTAAGGTTTTCCTTCGAAACCCCCATCAGGTCGGTCCTTAAGCTGCGCTTTGTAAAGAGCGAATCCCCCTTTGGTATGCTGCATATAAAGACGGGCCTTGTTGCACTTTCTCACTAATAATAAATGCCCTACGATTGGCTCCCCAGGAAGCATTTTGTTTTTTACCTAACGAGAGAACTTTGGGGCAGGTCATTACATTTATATAGGTACCTCAAGAAAAAGAACCTGAATATGCTGCATTTTGTTTCTTTAGCTTTTGTATGTAGCATTTTGTTTTGCTCTTATTATTTTGTTTAGATATATGCTTTTTGGACCCCATTAGACTGTTGAAAGAAATTCTAAAATTACCCTTGTAGGGATACAGTATCCTTTTATTTCCTTTTCGGACTTCAATATCTGGTTCAAAGGTTGCCCACCAGTAGAATTCTTTACCCAGACGCGCCCGAGCACACGGGCACCATGTGTATCAGCAGACAACCAACGTCCCAGTCCTTTCTGTTCACGCTGCTCTCTCGATTCCTTTCTCCGCGCCACCAAGAGGGTGGGCAGCTCATTTCTGATTAAGGTCAAACTCCAGCACCGTGGCATCTTGCTATTTTCAACACAGACCTCGCGCAGTTGCCACTGAGCAAGCAGCCTGGCCCTCAAGGAGTTGCTGGCGTCAGGCAGCGCTTCGGTCTGGCCTCCCTGGAGAGCCAGGCCGCACATTTCTGTTCCCCGGCACGCGCCCTGCGCGGAGCGCAGAGGGGTGGGCTTGACTGACAAAAATAGACTGGTGAAGAAAGCTGGAGGCTGGGACACTGAGCATCTGTTGTGTTTAAGCTTAGCTGGGTCCTTTCGAGTTTGTTTTACAGCTTACTAGGTTAAGTAGTTTGCACTATTTTTGCAATAAATTCATGGAAACCCTAACAGTTATTTGTTTTGTTTCTTACTGTGTGTATATAAACTAATACTAAAAGTTTGGCATAGTGTTTTTTCACCTCCTTACATAACCCTTAACATGCACAGAATGCTGTAAATCTGATAAAATATGATGTGAATGATATTTTATAAAGTTATTTTGTATGGTGTCAATTTTGTTTTGCCTCATAGTATGTCAGCAAAAAATAAAATAAAATTCCTCGTATTTACAGTTGCCTCTCCCAAAGGTCTTCAGTTACTCGCGTGTGTATTTGCACACTTCCATCTGCACGTGTTGATTCCAGGCTTCCCCGGCGGGGCCGTGCCGTCTGTGATGGGCGCCTAGGGCTTTATTCTACAAGCCTCGGACCTACCCCTTGACCGCTGTCCTCAGCAGAGCTGTGCTCTGCCTCTGAGCACCTGGGGCTTGGGGATGAAAACCACAAGGAGCAGACAGGACGCGGGAGAACAGGCATCTCCAGGGTGAGCTGGGTGCTTCTCCTTTAGCAGCCACCAGACGGGGCAAAGTAGAAAACCCTTCACCTGAGCCCCGATCCAGTACAAATCCCTGAGCTCCATATAGTGTGGGACTCAGACCTGACTGTACCTGGGGTTCGAGGCCTGGTGTTGGGAAAGGAAAGGAAGGTCCAATTCAGAAAAGCAGAAACGGCCGAAAATACCTCGATGTAGTGTTGCTGGAGCAGGCCATGGTTCTGTTGTTCTCTGTAGGTGCGTGTTCACAGGGCTGAATTTGTCACCACCAAAACCGGAAGCCACCCAGCCTGGCAATGCCCCGTTCACCTGGGGACTGGGTAAACAAGTGGCACCTCCAAGCAGTGGAGTCCTGCCCAGCAGCAGGAAGGTGCGGGCCGCGGACGCCCGCCACAGTATGCCTCCGGGGCCCTGCGCGGACAGCAGGGCCGGCCTCTGGGGAGGCCTGCTCTGGCCCCGCTGGCCTGGCACTGCGGACAGGCGCCCAGCACGCCACGGCCTGTGGGATGGGAATGGGCATTATCTCCTTAAATGGTTGAAAATTTAAAAAATATTTTAGACCCATGGAAACTACTCAAAATGGACATTTCGGCGTCCAGACCTGGCTTTCTTGAGGTGCAGCTGCACTGCTGCCTTCAGGGGCTGTCCCTGGCTGCCCTTTGCAGCACAGGGCTGGGCCGCTGCGAGACCACCACCCGCAGCCCGAGCGTGTCTCCTGCACGGGGCTCCTGTTGCGGGCGGGGCGGAGGGTGAGGGCTTGCGGCTGCCATGTGAAGGGCTGGGGTGAGTGTGGCCACTAGGAAACTTGGGCGGAGGTGATAAAACTGCTCTATCGTAACTGTGGCGATTACATGACTCTGCGTTTGTCAAAAGTGTGCACCAAAAAGTGGATTTTAAATTTTTATTTTAAAACATTTTAAAAACAACAGAGAAAACATCAGTGGTTGCCTGGGAGCAGGAGAAAGGACTAACTCCCAGGGGGACAGGGGGGTATCTGGGGTGATGGAACTGATTGTTTGCTTACGTGACCCACAGACTGAAAATCTACCCAATGTGCGGAAATATAGGACTTACGGTTTTCTCTTATGGATAGTAAAAACCACTACTATAGGTGTAAAAAAAGGAACAGCAACCGGGATAGAGCTGCAATATGCAAAATGTTCTCAAAAATTTTTTTTAAGAAAAATATGCTTAATATAGGTAATATTTCTTTTTGGATTTATGATTTGACTTGAACTTTTTCTCTGGGAAAAGTGCTAGAAATGCTCATTTTTAAATTTCACAGAGGTCTGAGGTAATAAGCAAGGCATCAGAATAACACAGGCTTACAAAATTAGATCTGCAGAGCACTGCACTGTAAATATACGTACAACTTTTAATAAAAAACGTTATGCCTTTACAGTTAAAAAACACAGTATTTGGACAAATATTCTAAGAAATTTTCTTGAAATACAAAATTTTAAGTGTAACATCATACAACGTAACAAAATACAACAAGTGATATTTTTAGCTAAAACTGGATCTAGTTGTTTCCACGTAAGTAATACTTAGAAGCTCTTCAAAACCGGCCTGCAAGCCAAGGCGGAGCCAGGCTGTCTCTGCAGCTGGTTTCCGGCCGCACAGAGCGGGCGGGTGCGCCTGTGCAGGCAGCCCTTTCTTGGCGCCCTTCACCCACATGGGGGCCTGACAGCTTTTGGCTGTTGGTGGTGCGGGCGCATCAGATGCCCTGTCTCAGCCGGGGAAGAACACAGTGGACTCAGACTCTGAAAAGTGAAGAGGCTGAAACTGCCCAGTGTTTGCTTACTTCAAAGCAGTGGTGCTGGTCCAAGTTTGATCCCCAGTCAGGGCACAGCCAAGAGGCAACCAATGAACGCATGAAGTGGAACAACAAATCCATGTCTCGCTCTCTCCTCCTCTCCTCCTCTCTCCTTTCCTCTCTAAAATATCAATGAAAGAAAAAAAAAAAAACGAAAAAAAAAAGCCATGGTGCTTATCCAGGGCGGCCCTCACCAGTCTGACATTTTCAAGCTTCGCTTTAGGGTTAGGATTCCGCTTCATCATCATCACTTTCCTCATTGTTGCCATTCTCCTCCTCGTCTTCGTCCCTCTTCTCCTTAAGCATTTTCAGATATTTACTAGCTAATATCTTCTTTGGTAATATATCTTAAAAACATAAAGCTAACATTAGCAATTGCCTATGGCAGACCATCAATATAGCAACACAAATTTCAAAAATGTCCTAGTTCCTGCTTTTACCTCCGGAATATGTTCCGAAACACCATAAAGCGAGACTACAGTTCCTGCGGGTGATCTCCCGCCAAACGCTGAAGACCTGCTTCCACTTCCCTGACTGCAAACCGTGTGCTGCTGCTGTGCGCTGGCCGGCCTGTGAGCAGCCTGCCTTGAGGCGGGCTGGCCGGCCCCAGGGGCGGACTCGGCTCCTTTTAGCCATGGCCCACACAGCTTGTGCTACAATTAGTTTCTGTTTCTGGGGCCAAGGAGGCCAGCCAGCGTTTCCCTTCAGTGGCAAGGAGTCGGGGGGTGGGTCGGCCTGCTCCCCAGCAAGCCAAACTCGCCGGTGCAGGCTGTTGACCACACTATCATTCTTGGTGAGCCACATTACAAACATACTCAACAGGCGAAACTGTGCCAGGTCATGGTTAACTCTGGCACCAGAGAGAAAGCAGCAAAATGTTTATTTCAGGGAAAGCAGGGGAGAAAAGCTTGAAATTACTAAGCATTTTTTAACCAGAATGTTTCAAAGACTCAGTACCTGCAAGAAACTGAAAAGTTTCCGATTCCTCTGCAGTATTTGATAAATCATTGTAAGTGAGTGCTTTCTTTTCTTTTCCACTGCCATGTCTGTAGGAATAGGTGGCTAGATACTGAACAAAGAGTTCCTAAAACAAATGAAACGGCAAAATGAAAGGTATGCTTTGAAAATTTATCATAGAACTTAAGTATTTAAATTATATTAAGTTTGGATGACTGCAGATTATCTTGGTTTCTCAAACTACAGGAAATCACTGGAGAAAGAAATAGGTCAGAAAGAAACGAAGAGTATCAAAGTTCGCAGGAAGCAGGCATTTCCCTAAAGTTTATTTTAGATTTTTAACTTAAGAAAAATATTGAAAACTAAACAATGAATCAAAAATGTTTAATGACCAGTCTGTACAGTGGCGGGGGCGGGGGGGGGGGGGGAAGCAAGAGACCATTCAAAAATTGCTTGGCTCAGGAATACTTTTGTCTTAGATGGTTCCCTCTAAAGCCAACAACCGGAAGCTCAGACTGGACCACATTTCCTATTTTGCCCAAACACCCTCGCTAAAGCAACAACCTGGGCTGAGCCTCCCTCCTGAATTCCATCTAGTGTGCTTAGTCAGGGAGTCAAGGAGAGCCCGAGACATAAGTCTTAGTTCCTGAATACTTGCAGCCGAAACTGTACAGGCAAACACAAATACCCCAATGTCACATGCTCAACGGTAGTTATTTTCCTGGACTCTCTGAGAAAGCATGGCTCTGGCACAAAGCAGGCAAGAAATCTGGGACTGCCCACTCCCCTTAGCTCTTGTCCAACATACTGTGGGAACATCGTGTACTGAACGAGGAGGAGCTGAAAAGCACAATCCAAGGATAAATTCCAGCAGCTAAGGCTGCAGCTTAACCACGGCCCAACGTAAGTACAGGAAGGGTCTGGCCCATCTCCGTGGAGCCCAAATCGGAGAAGCCACAATTATCTCGCAGGCGTACAGCTTGGGTCCCTGAAATTACTTCCAGCCGAGGATGCCCCGCTAGGATATCGGGGAGAGGTGGGCATCCCGGGCCGGACCTTCTGAGAAAGCCAAGCTTAGGGGACCATTTGGACAGTCGGGGCCCCGAAACTATGAAACAGGCCGAAAGCGAGAAAAACGGGGCGGACTTTGGAAGGAGGCAACCAAAGAATGGTGACGCGGCAGGAGGTACAGCAGCCGCGCGCCAGTCTGCGCCGTTGCCCAGGTAACCCACGCGCAAAGGAGGACGGGACGGGGCGCAGAGTAAGGCGGGGAACAGGGCGGGGCGAGAGGCGCGCGAGGGAGGCCGGGAGCGGCCCGAGAAGGGCGGGGCCAAGAAAAGGAGGAAGCGGGGGAGCTGGGGCGCGCGTGGCGTGGAAGGGAAGTGAGGCGAATCGCGGAAGGGCGCGCACGAGCCCTTGAAGGGCAGCCGGCGGCGCGCGAGCCCAAAGGGACTGCGCAGCGCGACCGGTCCTGGCGGCCCCCATCCCCGCGCCCCGCTCCTCACTTCTCCCCGCACTGCCCCAGCCTCACCGTGGCCTTAGCCGTAAGCATGAGCGCCTCCTGGTTGATGCTGGACACCTCGGGGGAGCTCTTCATGATGACCCGGATGCGGGACAGGGGCAGCGACACGATGCGCTGCTCTCCGCACTTGTCTCTGCCCACGACTACGTCCGCCATCTTTGTGCCCCTCCCCCGCGGCGGCAGCCGGGACCCGCCGCAAGGTGGCCGGGCGGCACGGTCAGTGCGAGAGCGGCGTCCCGCTGCCTCGTGGGAGTTGTAGTGCTGGGGAGGCGCGGCGGCGGAGGCGGGAATCCGTGTTTCAGGGTACTGACTACAAGTCCCATGATGCCCCGCGCCCCCGCGGCTGCGCCAAAGGAGCCCGGGGAGCCGGTCGGGGAGCCAGAATGGAGGGGTGGAGTTCTCTGTCACCTGGCAGGGGTGGCAGCTGGAACCAGAGGGAGGGCGGGTGCTGCTCAGAGGAAGGGAGCAGTGTTAAAGAATTCTTCCTGGAGGCAGATCTTGTCACTCAGTGAATGAGGATGCGGTGTCCTCTGTGTGCTGGGACTGGGGATGAGCAGTGAACGAAAGGAACGCATTCCTGAATCCCACAGTCCAAAGGGAAGAAACTGGCAAGCAAAGAGGACGCTGCTAAATGCCATGAAGGAAAAGAAAGCGGTGGAAGAACAGAGAGGTGGGGAGGAAGACGCAGCGGTGCCCGACGTAGCGCTTGCTGGGAGAAGGAGCAAATGCAAAGACCGTGAGGCAGGAGCCTTTCGTGGGAGGCTCAGAACGGCCTTGGGTGTGGAACCAGGGGCGCTGCGCAGTTGTGTGAGGGCTGAGGGAAAAGGCTGAAAGAGAGCGCAGGGATGATGGGATCCCTCTGGCTGCTGATTGTGCTAGACAGGGAGGGAGGGGTAAAGGTAGAGACGGCTACCGTGGGAGCCAAGAGACCAGGTAGATGATTGCACGTGTGCCTAAGGCGAAATGCCCGGAAAAGGGTGGTAGGATGTAGGCAGGGGCCAGGTCAGTAAGGGCCGCGTGGACTATGGCCTTCTTGCGGAAGGAGTTGGGTGGCCCTTGGGAGAGTAAGGTGGAAATGAGTAAATGAACGGTGGCTCTGTTTACTGAGACGGGGAACGCGGCTCGACGTCTGTCAAGCAGAGGTTTCCTTTGGAGTAAGTGAAGTTCCATCTGCCTCTCAGACACGAGCAGCAGTGTTGAGTGGACAGGTGGCTGTCCCGGCCTGGCGTTCTGGCTGGAGCGGTGAATTTAGAAGCCACCATTGTCTAGGCGGTAGTTAAAACCATGGACCTGGATGAGTGTGCCTAGGAGGAGGTTGTAGAGAGAGTAGAAAGATCCAAGGGCCATGTGCTGGGGTCCTCCAATATTCCAAGACGGAGAAGGAAAATCTGGCCAAGGATACTGGAAAGAGGTGGCCACTGCGTAGGAGGAGACTGGGTGTCCATAAAGCCAATGGAAGACAGATTTTCTGGAAGGAGAAACCAATCCACAGGATGAAATGCTGCAGAGGTCAGTAAGATGACAACCCCTCACGAGCAGCGTGACCCCAGGTGAGGCTAGCACCCTCTCTGCACCACCACGCCGCCTCTGTGGAGACGGGGGTGGTCCCACGCATCTGGGTTGTGAGAGTGCCTGGCATCGAAGACCAGAGTCTCCCGCCCTGCCAGTGATGCTGCGCCCAGCCCCTCCACCCTCGCGGCTCCATGCTGAGCATCAAGGGCGACGGGAAAGACAACACCTCTGCGAACTGTAAAGCACTCTGCAAAAGCCTCAATGCTCCGCGAGCCTCAGGGTTCCCACTGCACGGTCTTGTCACCCCAAACCAACATGGACTTCAAAATTCACATGAAAAGATTTTGGAAAATTTAAAGTATATCCTGTTTTAACCTTTCTGATTTGAATTCTGTCCATCACTTAGGCAGCAGTTACAAAATACAAACTGTGTACTTGTAGGCTGCAGGGCTGTCCACTCTTGGTGTCTCTGGGCCACGCTGGAAGAAGAGGAGTTGTTTTGGACCACACATTAAATACACAAACACTAACGAAAACCAAAAAAACCTCAAAACGTTTTAAGTAAGTTTACGATTTTGTGTTGGGCCGCAGGTGGAACACCCCTGCCTCTACAAGCGTCATGGGTTCTGAAAATTACTGCTCTTCAGTCTTCCTGAGGGGGGGACCCAAGGCCAGATTTCAGGTGTTCCAGATTTCTGACATTTGGAGGAGAAAAGTCTCCTCACATCTACCTCCAGCCACAATGACTCAGTAACCTCAGCACCCGCTCTGTGCCTCACCACGAGAAAGTGATGGCCAAGAATGCAAGGACAGTGCCATTCTCACCATTGTGACCCAGCCCTTGTCCCAAATGACGCACCGAATGCAGATCAGGCACTGCTTGATACAAAGATACTGGCCTGAGCAAAGTAGCTATGGTCCCTGTTCTCCCAGAGCTTGCTTGCAAGTTCAAGGGTGACAGAAAAAAATCCATGGTAAGTACTATGAAGCAACTGTGAGAGCGATAGGGCAGTGTCTCTGAGAAGTGATATGTAAGCTCAGACCTGAAATGGGAAAGGTGCCAACCGCACAGAAAGCCTGGGCAAGGCAGGCATCCTGAGCAGGCCAGCCTGGGGGAGGGGTGTACGCTGAGGATGCCTTTGCAAGCGACAGGCGGGTGTGGCCGGGTGTGGCCGGCCAGAGCTGAGCTGAGTGAGCGAGGAGGAGGCCGGGGCAGGTGTGGGGAGCAAGGTGGGTGGGAGCCGCTCAGGCCGGCCGGTAAGAAGCTTGGCTTCGTGCTGAGAGCAGTGGAGAGCCAGAGAGTGAGGGAGTGGATCCCGGTTAAAAGCCCACCTGCTGCCCTGTGATGACTCATTGGTACCTCCCTCCGCGCTGCTGCCTCAGGGTTCCCCTTTGGTGGGAAAGCTCTTGCCATTCACCAGAGTCATGAGCGAGACACTACTCAAATCAACCACCTTCACAGGGGGCCTTCTGGTCCCCAAAAGAAACAAGCTGTATTGTTGACATGCTTTAAAATCTTTAGATGTGTTGTTTCTCTAGCTGGTTATTGATTTTTGTAAGGTTTGCCACTCTCAGCTCGTTAGGGAGCAGGGTGGGTTCAGGTTGGGAGGGGATGGAGGAGGAAGGCATCTGAGGACTAAGAGCCAAAAGGATGCGAGGGGATGAGAAGCTCAGGTGGTGGGCTTGGCAGGGGTATTCACAGTCAGTTGTTTTGAGAAGTACGGAGAGAGACAAAGAAGGAAATCAGAAAAGAGGGAAAGCGCTCACCATTTAAAGAAAAAAACAAGACCCAGCTTCAAACCTGAGACAGGAGGAGGAGCAGAGCGTCCACGCTCCCCGGCCGCCTCGCCGCGCTGGGAAAAGCGCAAAGAGCCGCATCGTCCTGCGGTCGGCGCTGCCCTCCGCCACCCGCTTTGCCCCCACGGTCCGCGGCGGATGCGCCTGTAATTGCCCGTGCTGCTGCGCGGCTCGTCCTTGCCCCCCGTGTGTCCGTGTCCCAGGTGAGCCACGCTCCCCGGGGCCCCTGCCAGCTGACTTCCCGTTGGGCTCTGCCCACAGGAAAGGGTTGAGACGGTGCATCGGGAAGGCAGGAAGAGTTGTGTTTATCTGCTTGTGCGAAGGCTTTGGCGGCGGGCTGGGGGGCGCAGGGGCTGGAAGGGGGCTGGTTGGAGCAGCAGCCGCTCCGGCAGCGGCCCGGGTGGGTCCCCAGGCTCTGACCAGGGGCGGCAGGACCCACTTCCAGGGCTCTGGGGAGCATTTCCACCCCCCTTCCCTTCAGCGCGCCTTTCCCTGCCGTTCTGCAGCTCTCCCAGCACCTGTGAAGTCGCTTCTTGGCATTAAATCGCTGTCTGTCTGAAACACCTAAAGCAGCCTCTGCTTTCCTGATTGAACCATGAAACCAACGTACATGGTCCTGGGAAACAGGCCCAGAGAAATGGGCCTCGGAGCTGGTCGCCCGGCTTGGTCGTGCGGCACGCAGAGCCGGCCTTACAGGCAGCACACCTGGGCAGCGCGTCATCTCGATCCTCGCCGGTTGTGGCCTGGATCACGTGCTCGCTGAGGGGCAGGCTGCTGCGGGGGACCATCCGGGTGAGAAGGGACCCTCGTGGGAGAGACTTGCTTCTGATGGCACTGGAGAGATTTCAGAGAAAATTAGAAACTCAGGGCTTTAAACTCTCAGGTCAAGCCAGGCCCTGTGCTGGCCCTGATTCCTAATCCTGTGGAGCCTCAGCGCTGATAGGGCTAAGGGTCGGGCTTACCTTTGGTCCTACCGGGTACAGTACAGCAAGATAAAGTGAAGTCACACCCTCAGGCCTTCACGGTGAAGTCAAGCTACTGATCGGGAGGAGTGGAAATGAGAATGGGGGTAGTTGGGGGGACACAACCGAATCGAGAACCTAGCCTTCCCCGCCCCTCTGAGTCTTTGTCGGTGGACCCAGCCCCCTACCTGCCTGAGGCGACCACTGCTCACCTTGAAGTCCTATTATGCACTCACTTGAGGTGCCTACCTGGCAAGAAAGGGGACGCTGTGCCTTCTCAGGACTCACCCCATTAACTCCAGTCCTAATTGAAGTCAGATCCCAGCATGCCCCGGGGAAACAACCGCAAAGCCCAGTGTGGGAGATGTTCCCACACTGAAAGAACGCGGAACATTCTTGCAGTTCTTTCTTATCAGCAAGCAGGGACTGGGGGAGCAGGTTTGGGTGGTATCAGGGTGTCTTCTCGCCTCTGGGCAGGCTGACTTTATCAACACAGCTGACCTTGCAGAGAGGTCGGGCTCTGGGTGTTACCTCCACAGCTGGGGATCGTCTGCTTGGCTGAGCTGGGCGAGAGGGATCTGGAGTGTCCTTCTGCACTGGGGGCCCTCTGACCTGTAGAGACCCCGCGGACTGCCTTTGAGTGTGCTGCTCTGTCCGACCTAGTCACCAGATGACCCGGCAGAACTAGGGCAGGCTGTCTGGGGAGACAGCACCCCAGTAAGGTGTGCTGGTGGGTCTGCATAACAGAGTCGCAGCACGGACTCCCAGGAGTTTGGAGTAACGATGTCTTCTTCTGCAAAGAACTATTGTCCATCGGAACCTCAGGCCTGCATTTGCCACCGGACTCTGGTAGAGACCCAACGCCAGACCCCGAGACCCCAGACGAGCGTGTGGCCTGAGCGGG